GGTAGATCCAAGGCTCACATAGTCCTGCATGTGATCCCACCAGCTCTTTGACATCAAGGCTTTGACAGCTCGGATGCGAGAGGTACCTTCGGCCACATTCGCCTCCAGAGACTTCAAGTCCTCTAGCCGCTTTTCTTCTAGCTTGCTGATTAGCACCAAGGCTTCTGATTCCATGATCTCTGGACACCCACCTTTAACCCTCAAGCGAAAGGCACGACCCGAAGGAGCAATCAAACGGCATCGCGAGGCAGTCCAATCCAAACGATACCCCAGCTGCTGGATGACAGAACCCAGCGGCACGATGGTTTGGGCACTAGATGTGGGAGGCAACAGAAGAGTACCAGCAGCAGACAAACGCATAGCCGAAGTCTCCTTTCCAGCCAGTGACACGACAACGGGTTGCGCACTAGCCCATTCAGCTTCGGAACTTGCAGCGCGAAGGGCATGAGTGGCCCCACTGTCTACCAAAGCCAAAAAACTAGGACTACCATCTACTTCCAAAACCTGCCCAGGCTCAATGGCTGTGAGATGGATGGTCTTAATGCTCGGCTTAGGCTCCTCCTGCGCTGCAGGTTTGTCTTCAATCGCCGGAGGCTGCGCGGGAGCGGCTGGGGTGGATGCAGGAGGAAAGGCTTCGGAAGAACTGGCAGCTGCAAACATCATGCGCATAAACGCTGTGAAGTCCTCCGCTCGGCCTGGGCTCGCGCCCGGCTGGATTGCAGTAGACGCCTGATCAGCCGTTGTAGGCCTGTGGCCTGCAGCATTGTTGGTGTTTCCTCCACCTGGCTGTCCTTTCCCCTTTGGGCTTCCTCCAGCTACCGGGCAGTCCTTTTGGCGGTGTGCCTCAGAGCCACATGCTAAGCACTTTTTGCTGCGCTCCTGACGAGAAAGTCCTGACATGTCGTGGCTAAACGTGCACTTAGGACCCCGCCTACACCCCGAAGTACCCATGAAAAACTTGCAGGGCTTTGAAGCCTGCGGCTGCCCACTGGCCTTTGGAGATGTTCCCGGACTGGGCGTGCCTACAGCTCGAACCTTAGGGGCACTCACACCTGTGGCCTTAGAGACTGCAAGGGCTTCCATCTCTGCAAGCAAGTGCTTGTGATACTCCAGGACTGCAGACGAAGTTGGTTGAGCATCCATTTTTAACATGGAACGAAGCATAAACGTTCGAAACTTCGCTTCTTCATGCTGCGCCAAAACTTGGCTAGTGATGGTAGTGAGGCTCTTGGACAAAATGGTCGAGTCCGGAGGTGACATGTTGCAACTTTCACAGCGATTGTGCCAACGAATCCACTCACGCAAAGACTTCACGGCTGAGGAGGGATCAGATGCTGGAGTAGGCTGCATGAGATTCTTCTGAATAACCTCCTTTTCTGAACCTCCACCTGGTTGGTACGTGGTGTGCAAACGGAAAAGGATGGAAGGAGCTGATTGATTGCATTTGCGGGCCACAATGTCTGCTTTGATAGACTCGGGGACTGCCGCCATAAGCATACTACAGATCCTAAAGTTGACACGCGCCCATCGCCCTTGAAGCAACTCAGCCGGTACAACGGGCTCAACCTTTAGCCTATCCAAGGGTGATGACGAAATCCAAACCCCATAGGCCGTATCAACCACACCCAAAACCTGACGCCACCACTCTGCTGCTGTGTCCGAAACATCACCGACCAAACCCCCAATCACAACTAACCAATCTTGGTACAGAAGAGACCCTTCATCCGAAGTGAGCTCTGCCAAAGCTGGGAAACTCGAGATGCCTGGCTTAACAGCTTCAGGGTTGGTGGGAGAATTGCCGCCATCGCGTTCGGCACGAGATCCCTTGAGCATCTCTGACATGGCATCTTGAAGTTGATGCATCCCAGCAATCAGTATCTCACGATCTGTGGGTCCTGATGCACTCGCGGCTCCTGCTGGCAGTGTGCCTCTGGGTTCTGCTTGTGGCCTCTGCGGTGCAGGGCTGGAAGACCGCGCACCGGAACCAAGGAGCCCTGAGAACAAACCAGCGAATCCCTGAGGCTCGGGAGCGGAAGGAGGCGGAGGAGGAGGCGGTGAGGATGAAGAAGGGGCAAATCCAACCCCAGTGCTGGCGACAGGATGCGAACCGAACCCACTATCACCAAACCCACTAAGGCCAACCTCCCTAGTACCCACCTGCTGCAACGCCGTAGCCTCAACTTCACCAGCCTGCTGAGACCGAATCCTCAAGAGTTCGGCCTCAGCACGACCAGCTCTCTCTTGCTCAGCTCGCAGTTGCTGCTTCAACCCATCAAGCTGTCGCGCGACTTCTGCCTGAATCGCATCATGCGGAATAGATGAGGACTCGGTGTGCGGAGGCCTGTCCGGAGACCCGGACCCGTAGAGCAAGGGAGCTCTTTGCTCCATGGCAGCAAGCTGCTGCGCGTTGGCACCAGTGAACAACGGCATCGGCACTTGACACTCATCTTGCAGGACGCGGCCTCCTCTCTCGAGGGGCTGTAGTGGTCGCGACGGCCTTGGAGGAGAAGTCAGTGGACTGGGAGCCCACCCTTGCGGCAGTGGCTGTACGTTCGCCGCGCCACCAAACAGAGACTGCACTCTTCCTAGCAACTGACTAGCAAAAGCCTGAGCCCCAGTCTGCATGACCGCTGACGCCCCGTACGCCGTTGATCTGGGCGTTTCAAAGCCCTCAGCACTACTTCCAGGATTCGCTGCAGATGGGTTGTACCCTGAGACGCCTGCGGCAACATTGATCTGAGCGCTAGCCATTCCACTTTCGGTGGCCACACTGAAACCCTGAGTCACTGCAGTTGCATCTCCATGTACCCCACTCGCATCAGCGACCTCCGTGGTAGATACTGCTTCATACGTAACGCCAGCTGTGCCCAAGCCTCCAACCTGGCCTAGTGTTCCATCGCCTCCTGTCCTACCGACTGCTGAAACTCTCGGTTGGCCGGCTGTTCCAACAGTTTCTTGTGGCAGCTGAGGGGATGGCACTAGACCAGCTGTGGAAGTCGATGGCCCCGACGACGCATCCATCATAGTTTGCTGGATTCCATCCCCAATAGGCTGCGCAAGCCCAGAGGGCGATGGCACTCCAACTCCGGCGGTTGTACCATTCACTGTAGTCTGCGGTGCATCCCCGCCTCCCCGCACTCCAGGCAGAGAGGCCGGAGAAGCCACCGCTCCGGTTGCTTCTGGCCCAGGCGTTGGGCTCATCACCTGTTGAAGGTGTTCACCCTGGGTGGCCATACCCTGCAGCGAAGCTCACGCAGAATGTTTTCTATGGCTGGGCGCAGAGGCGACTCACGATCTCAACGAAGCAACAAGAGAACCGACAAACCAACAAACGACCTGTACAGCTTTACAAGTTGTTGGTTACAGTACACATGGCTCAAGAGGCTTTCCTACGCAGCCTTCCCCTAAGCCAACGGATACAGGAAACACACATGTACAAGCCTACCTGAAGGAAACTATACAAGTGCCGGCAATCCCTTCAAGCAGACTACACACCTGTCTAACCTGATACCTGGGCATGCAGTGAGAAGCATTTCAACAGTTAGAGTTTGCCTAAATTGATTCCCAACACTATTTTGGGGCTTCCGTACTATCATGGTAGTATCATGGGCCCCGAAGCCCTATTCAAACTCTTAAGGCCCCCTATCATTGTAGTAATATGGTCCCGAAGCCCTATTCAAACTCTTAAGGCCCCCTATCATTGTAGTAATATGGTCCCGAAGCCCTATTCAAACTCTTAAGGCCCCTGTATTAGTGTTCAGGGGTTCTGCGTATTTAGCATCTCAGAGCCCGAGTCCGACACAGGTGGCATCAGTCTTTCTATGTGCAGCCCTCAGGAAAGTGCTTCTTCTTCGGTGGTCCTTATTAGAATTATAGTATCTTGGGCACCAAAACCCTACTCTAATTATTAAGGCCCCTGCATTAGATGGAATCCTCCAGTGCAGCAAAATCCGGCTTTAATGGGGTGTAAGAGCAGTGCGCGGCTGGCTGGTGCTATGATTCAACCCAGAACACAGACGTTGCAGCTTGTACACGCAGATGTATCAGGCAAGTTGCATCGTAGCACTGCAGAACACGTCATGTCTACATGCAGTGATAAGCATGTAGGCAGTCACACGTGTTGGCTCACACGTCTTTATATCACGACTTGTACACATTGACTAGGTTGGCAAGGCCTCCTCAAGGATCTCAACAGCTCAGTATGTACAACCAGTTGGGTATGTACAATCACATCACAAAACACTATACTACATAGCCTTGCCATAACTAGAATGGCAAAGTTTTGGAACCGAGAACTTGCAACTCGGAGAACGTTTATATGTGATGGGAAATGAAGTATGATATTCCATCTTGTACTAGAACACCATACAGCCCATACTGTACTAGAACAATTCTCCCCCAGACCCCAAACCCTAAAGCCCAAAAACCGTACAGTAAAACATAACAGACCAAAAGCGAACCTGAGCATTGAGGAAGGGCCCAGACGGTCTGAAAGAGGCCCTGCCCGGCTCAGGGTCTGCTAAGGTTGGAGGGTTCAGTCTTACGGAGTATTTAGGGCCAAGGAGCTTTAGGATTTGGGGGTTTAAGGGTTCAGGGGTTTAGGATTTAGGGGTTCGGGGCGTGTGGGTTTAGGATTTAGAGTTCAGGGGTATTTGGGGCCTAGTGGTGACCCTGACAGCTTGATCGTATCGGAGTCTTCTTTTTGACAGATTGTCATGACTTGCATGTCAAACCACGTGGCAGGAGCATGATGTTAATCCCGTTGGTTGTTCCTGCTATAAGTTGAGCGAGACTTTTAACTGACCGTCTGTTCTAGACACTTTGGCTGCTGACATAAATATCCGGATACAGCCATTGGCACTTTACTTGCATGAAAGAATGCGACTAACGGACCCTTGATCCAAATGGCCGACAGAAGTCCATGAATCTTGTAGGGTTTGGGCAATTGTGGAGGTTTAGCTTTGGCATTCTGGACATAGGGTCTTGGGGAAGGTGCAGGCATGCAGCGAGTGAGCTTGAGGGAGGGTGGCTTGCATCATATTGTTGCAGGGTAAGGTCTACAACTCAGTGATTGTTGAGGATCTCCATTGATTGGGTGGAGATCTCTACTACCCGGCACATCGCGTTGCATCAAGAGGTGGAGGCCGACACTGTGCTCCTGAACGTGCCGCAGCTGCCGCTTCTGCGGCTGCTGAGTGCCAGCGCAGAGGCCTCTTTGGGGCTGGGTTGGTTGTGCTATCTTTGGGTGCTTTTATTCGCCTTAAGGCCTGAAGGCGTCTTCACCACCGCACTCCCAAGACGCCCGTTATATGGCAAGTTTATGTTAAGATGTAGCAAAGTGTGAACATCCACAGCCTCTTTTTCCAAGCTTGAGTGTTGTCGTGTACATCGAGCTGCCAGCACATGGTGGCCGACCGGAGTCATCGTGGAGACGAAGGTTGCTAAAAACACCTGGGCACGAACGCAAGAAGATGTCGTCCAAGAGGGTCTACAGCCTGTTGTTTCGTTTTATCCTGGAAAGGGACACCTCTAAACCCTAAACCCTTATGGGCAACTTCCTGAGATGTGGCTTCTTGCCTCACGATTCTGAGGATGGGAGGTGCGCAAGACATGCCAAAGAACAGATGAGGAGACAAACAGCAAGATGTTTCCTTACCCTAGGAACCCAGAACATTGACTCCTTTTCCTAAGACACGGTACTAGGGTTATATGTATCTCACCGGGTTTCATCCTCACCAGCAAGCTTACCAAAGTTTCGATGACGGATTTCGGTTCCTTCGCCAGGTGGACGACATCATGACGCCTCGTGAAGATCTCTTTGCCCCAAGGTCCTATGCCATCCTGACCCTTGCCAGCACCAGGCGGAAAAGCAAAGGCCATGGATGAAGGAAAGATGCGAGGCTGCAGTGTCAGGCATCCTAAACCCTAAAAAGCTGAACACAAACCCTAGGCCTCAAACAAAGCAAATCCCTGACCGAAGCTACTGTCAGGAAGCTCTACGTCTACTATGAGGAGCTGAGACATCCTAGGAGATTGAAGGTCGCAGTCTTCGTGGGTTTGCGGATAAGTTCAGGGTTTCAGAATGGTTCTTGCAGCTGGGTTTGAAGGTTTGACAGCTGCTGCCAGGGTCCTCGGGTGCTTCAGCAATGTGCCACCTGGGGGGCCTAATGGTTGGCATTTCGGTGTGCTTTGTATAGTTGTGTATTCAGGCTAGCCCTCCACAAACAAAAAACAGCTTGTTTAATGTCGTGGGGTGTTTCTTTGCAGCTGGGTGTAGGGATTAGGGACTGGGATCGGGGTCGAGGGGTTTCGGGGTAGCTCTGGCGCCTGATCGGTAGATCCCTAAACCCTAAACCCTAAACCCTAAACCCCTAAACCCCCAGACCGTAAACCGCAGGAATGTTGAGTTTCTCCGGCCGAGGGCTCCCAGACCCGCTGAGCACCGAGGTGGAGACGCCTCGCATCATGAACATGTAAAGGGAACCCCAGAAAGTTGGAATATGGTTTCAGGGTAGGATACCCCATAATTTACCATAAAGGGTGTAGGATAATCATATTCCAACTTTCTGGCTTTTACTTTAATTCAGGGGTCTGCAATGCTCTCCTCTTACGCACGAAATGGTGAGCGCGGGTTCTTTGCTGATTCAAACCCGCGTGATTTTGCGAAGTATAGGATGCATGGTGGCGGAACTACCTGAATCTGACTGCCGGCCAGTTCAGCAACATGGGCGATGCCACCTGGCTCATATCTTGAGGGCTGGCATCCGGGCTTCTTATATCACAGCATCCGAGTCCCACATCAAGTTGCCCCAAGAGCTGAGCAAAGGTTTGCAGGCAACAGCATGGCAGCTATTACAAAATGAAGTCCGGCATACGGCAGCAGTGCAGATGTGCCGTCCTGACGCAGAGAGAACAAAAGGTCGAATATTTTGCGGCTCGCGAGAGCAGCCTTACACCTCTGCAACGCAAGCATGTTAGAGTGACGACACCCTCGCATTGCCATCAATCTGCTGCCAACATCAGCTCCTAATGCATGGGTCGGAAGCAAAGTGCTTTTAGTCCTCTATAGTCCCTTGCTGATGCAGATATATTTATAGGATAATATCCCCAAGCCAAGAAACCTGTTAAGGCCCCGACACTGCGTCGATTCCGAGGACTGGTGGAATGCTCCCTACCAGTTCCCGCTGCCGCTGGAGGGGCGTTCCTGGACGCCTACAAGAAACTGCTGAAGAGTGTTTGTTTTGTGAATGCCTCAACCCGCACCCCTTAAACCCTAAACTAAATCTCCAAACCCTAAACCCTGCACTAAACCCAAGCCCTTACGTCTTAAGCCCGCAAAGCCCTGGTAGATTTCGGTTGGTTGGTGTGCAGACAACGGGTGAAAACTCTTCAGGGTACCAGAACCCCACGCGAAGCCCTGAAGACATCCCAAGCAATCATAGTGCCAGCGAGAGGTGAGTTCTTGTAGGGTTTATAAGCGTTTTGAGGGCTTGCTAGACCTGAATAAGCAGAATCGTGTTTGGGGGGGCATCATGCTATAACTATAAGGAGCTTTCTGGGAGGACTGTTACTACTTCTTCAGACCCCTGTAGTGCTTGAAAGAGCAAAGGACTTTTTAAGTATATAGACCAAGGATTTAGGGTTCCGAGTGTGTGGTTGATCAACACCCGCTTTGCATCGAACCCAGCATCCCGACACCAACGGCATGAAGCCCAAGATGCAGAAACCCTAAACCCTAAACCCTAACAGCGCGCTCAGGTTACTGGGATGGCGACTTCCGTTGTGACAGCGATGGACGCAATTGCCGAGGCACGAAATGAACAAAACTCCCACAGCCCTAAGCCTTTGCATGCTGAAATATACAAGTCTTCTAGCATCCTATTGTAGTCTCTGTCATATACTTGAAGGTAACGGACTGAAGCGCGGCTAATCGGCTAATGGCGGCTAATGCGCACGCCCTGTCTGAAATCTCTGGACCAGAAACCCGAGATCAGACCAAAAGATCCGAATACCCCAAACCGCGACCCTCTAAGCCGTAGCGTTCATGATCCAAACTAAACCATGAAAGCCCGAAGCCCAAGAATCCTACGAGACCTGGGCCACATCCAGCTAAGCCGATGCTGCGAGGATTCCTCGAAGCCATTTACGGTGGCGGCGACACCATCATCGATGCGTGCCTGGGTTGAAGAAAGAAGCAGAACGGGTACATGTGGGTTGATAGAGTCAGAGCTTAGGGTCCAATCTTGGTATAGAGAAAGACTAAGGAGTTGGACACAGGTTTTATCTAGATACAGAAATAGATGTAGCTTTTGTGAATGATATAGAGCTGGGCTGATGGTTTAGACATAGACATGGATAGTGAGGAGCTGATTTGTGTTTGACTTGAGGGGGCAAGTGATAGCTCGTTTGTGGTGCTTCAGCTGTCTCTTTCGCGACAGCTTCCCTGCCTCTGGAGCCAAAGTTCAAACCCGAGCCCCCTTGCTGCATCCGAGGTTCCGGCCCCACATGCTGGCGCAACGCCTGGGGCTCGGCCGGGGCTGCGGATGCCCTATATAGCTTTAAAAATTCAGAATGCTTTTGAAAGACGACTCAGGAAGTTGGGATGTTTAAAGGGTTCGATAGGACGCATCCACCACTGTGCAGCAGTTTAGGGTGAGGATTGGGCTTTGTGGGGTTTAGGTCCTGGGCTTCGAGCTAGGATGAGGGTTTGGGTTTCAAGACTTCGGCTGCTTCCAAGGCTCTATACTAGGGCTTTGGGGCTTAGAGTTTGTTTAGGATTCAGGGTTTAGCGTCTAAGGGTCGCTCTATGTCCCGGGTTGCATACGGGTTTCGAGGGTAGAAACTCCGTTTGAGTTTCCCCTAGATCCATCGCATGGCATCTGTTTGCTTCATGGCAACCTGGTTGTGACCCATAACAAGAACGAACATCCCTAGACAGTCGGGCAGCGCCCGTGTAGACCCCCACAGAGCCCTGCAAAGCCCTTATGACGCCGCATCCAAATACCTATAAAGAAAATGAGCCCTTCTGATGTATCATCTTGTACTGTAGAAATACTACATGTCCTACATTATGCCATACTAGACGACGTTATATGATATTACACACTGTACCATACTAGACTATGCTAGAGCATACTCTATGATACTACATCACACTATGCTGCAAAATGATGTCATATGAGGCAATGGAGACCCCATTGTCGTCCTCGACTCGAAGAAGCCCATGGAGCTTCGGATGCGGTAGTTTAGAGGGTTTCGTTGCGGCACAAGTTTTATTCACATCGGGTTTGTGTTCGTTTCTGGAACCTTGTGCGTTCTTTGGTTTGCAGGCTTCTTAGGCGGGATTCATGGTTAATTCGGTTCTGTTTTTGAGCTTTGACTACAGCGTTTTGCAGAGTTGAGGGTTCGGGGCATTAGGGTGTGCTTCTAAGTGTTCTGCGAGTTTTCGGAGTTTTGGGAATTCAGGTTTTAGGGGTTAGGATCTTGGCTAGTCTCCTGGTGGTCTCTTCGCCGGCTGCTTCCCGAAGACTTTTAGAGCTTGGGCGTCCGAACTGATAGTTCCATCCCAGAACACCCCAAAAGGCAGCCTTCGAGGAACCCCTGATTCCCCCTAAGCCCTCAACATTAAGGCGAAACCTGAAGTCTGAAACCCTAAACCCTAACCCCAAACCCTAAACCCTAAACCCGAAACCCTAAATCACATTTTTGCACTTTAAAAAAACCCGAACCCAAAACCCGAAGCCCTAAACTCTGGGCCTAAAGCCTTCATCAAAGCTTCAAGTGGCGAGCAGGATGCTCATCTCCTGAAGTTGGTGCACCGGTCCCTGGTGGCTTTCCATGCCAAGGCCTCTTGGGAGGTTCAGGGTTTTGGGGATTAGCGGTTTGGGGTTCACGGTTTCGGGTTCAGGGTTTAGGGTTCGGGGGCTTGGGTTTAGGGGATTAGCGGTTTGGGGTTTAGGGTTCAGGGTTTAGGGGTTTAGCAGTTTGGGGTTTATCGGTTTGGGGTTCAGGTTGCTGGGTTTTAGGATGGTTTTCTCGGACCCTTTGCAGGCATTGAAAGCCGCCGGCAAGCTGGAGCTCGTCAATGCCAGCCGCCACCTTGGGAAGGTTATGGTTTCGGAGTTTAGGGTTTAGGTTCCTAGAATCCCGGACATTTTACGTAAGGGCTTTGTCGTGAAGTGAAGCGCTATAGCGATTTTCGTATCTCTCAATCCTAATTTCGACAGCAATCTTGGAACCCCGAAAACCCCAGAAACCCAGACAATACCCAAACCCAAAACCTTTGGATCGAGGGCTTGATCTAGGGGTCTATTTTGCAATAGCGTCTTCTTCTTGTCGCCGTACAACTTTACCATCACATATTCCAAGAGGCGAGGTAATTTGTGTTTGAAGGTTTGCGGTTTTCGTATTGATTGGGTATTTGGGGTTCAGAAATTCACTGAGCTCTGAGCCTACCGGCAAACCTTGAAGCCTGAACGTCTTTGAAACCAGAAAAACTCAGGCTTCCCCGAGACGGCTGTGCTGTCCAGCTGGACGGGGGAGGCGCGGAAGTGCAGAAGTTAGGGGTCAGAATTGTTACCCATATCATTATTCAGGGTTCCGTACCAGAAGTAAAACCTCCCCCCTCAACCCTAAACCCTACACAGGTCAAGTAGTTCCCAACTCTGACAAATCCACCTGGGCTTCGGGACTCCAAACGGGCTCTTCCTGGGTTGGAAGCCCCAAACCCTAAACCCTAAACCCTGAACCCCTCCTAGATTAGGGTCCCGTGAGTCCGCGCCAAGGCCGCCGGATTCGAGGCGGGCTGCCACGACATCAAGGCCCTAACGGGCTCGTCAGGGAGCTGGAGGGTTTAGAGTTTTACGGTTTCAGAGCTCCCAATCCAAGGGCTCCATAAGGGTTTTCTATAGGAGTCCTTGCTGAGAACACAGGGACTTTCTTTGCTACGGTACCTTAAGTTAGCTGCAGCTCGGAGTTGTTGTGCCCCGAGTTGTTGCGTGCATGCTCTTTGAACCGGAGAGCAGCTTAGCAGTTTCGGGTGTCAGGTTTGGGCTGCAGCAGTGCGGCCTGTCGGGTACTTGTAGCTGCTTCGTGCTTGATTTGCAAGTTCTCTGCTCCCAGGCAGTCAGCCCTCCCGGTGTCTCGCATGCAATGGGTTGGCGGTAGAGTTGTTTGAGTCGGCGATCAAGGGAAGGAGCGGGGAGCATGGCCTAGATCAAACTCGTGTGGGATCGAGCTGTGTGTTAAAGTCAGGATACTGGTGAGACCCAGGCAGCTCTTCCCTGAACCCGAAGCCCTAAACCCTGTTCGAAGCATTGAAGGCGAAAGGTACACCTAAATCTTATTGAGGAGGTAATGGGAGCCTTCCTCCTGTGGTCCGTAATATAGGGGAATATAGGGGCCTGAATACTTGGAATAGGGTTTCGGGCCCATTATACTATGATTATAGTAGGAAACCCCCAGAATGGTATTGGTCACCATTTAGGCCCCTTTGTTAGGGCTGCTTTATTAGCATTGCTGAGTGGATTAGGTTGAGTTGGTGGTGACTGACCCGCGTACTCCTTTCAGCAAGAGCACGCTCCAGCCTCGTCAGCTAAGGCACGGATATGGAGGACATCCGGCCCGTGTACAACAGCAGCACCTCCGGCTTTATCATAGGAACATGATTCTCGAGCATGTGCACACTCGAGATGAACGAGTCGTGGGAGGAGCGCGCACACACACACACACGCACACGCACGTACACCCCACACAGACGTATTCCCACCCTTACATTACGGAACACCGAAACTTGCAAGCAAGGTCTAGACTGTGACTGAGATTGTCACCTTGAATTGCCCGACACCCTGGCTCAAGATTCAGGTCCGGACATGGAACAGATGGAAAGGTGCTTCAACAGGAGGTTCGACAACACATCTATGGCCCACCAAATCGCCAAAAGTATAGGTAGTTCTTAAGGCCCTATCCTACACCCCCGCATAATACCCCTTATGGTACCCGCGCAGGACCCTCTTTAAGAACCCTTATTTCAAGAAATCTATAACTCCCAGTGGGTTCTTCTGGGACCCAGGCGCCCAGCGCCTTCGCTTTGTGCGCCCGCTGGGAGAGAACGTGCCGGTTTTCCTGGCGGATGAGGCCGGAGGGGTTTCAAAAAGAGGTTCTATAAGGGTTCTATCATGGCAATATACTACAAAGAAAGGGTTTTGGGCTAGGGATTGGGGGAATATGGTTCTGGCTAGGGGCTGTGTGGGTTTTGTTATGGTGTTTTATTATGATTTTATGGCTTAGTTTGTGTGTTGGAAACAGGGCCCATCTTTCTGGTCTTTGTTCGAGGGTTTTGACTTAAGCTACAGGCCTAGGGTGTGAAGGAGCCTGAGAACCTGCCAAAACCATGACCCGTGCAATACCCTAAGCCCTACGCCATACACGCTAACCCATATATCTTAACAACGTGGTCGCAAAAAATACCAAAGTAGTAGAAATAGCAGTAGTTATAGTAGTAGTAATAAGAGGAATACATGTAGCACCAACAACCACAATAAAAGTGCTAATGCTGATTCTAGTATGAAAAGAGCGGCCCACCCCCAAAGTTCTCCGGTCGTTTACCCAAGGCCTTCGGCTGGCCGAGCTGCTGGGCCGAGAGCTCCCTGGTGCTCGCAGAGCCGCTCAGCGGCGGAATTTTTCTTTTAAATGTAGGGCTTAGGGAGGGTTTAGGGTTTAGGGCTTTCAGGGCTTCGGGCCTTTAAGGTTGAGGGTATAGGGCTTAAAGCCTATAATAAGGCTTAAAACTTCGGGGATCTCAAAAAATTTGGTTGCTTGGGTACCGGGATCAGGCTGTAGGGTTGAGAGTTGAGGGGTTGTGGTGCAGGGTTGAAGGGTTGGGGTGTAGGGTTGCAGGGCTTAGGGCTAGGGTTGAGGGTTCAGCGTTTAGTATGGAGGCCGTAACAATGAGGGCCATCATAATTCGAGTAAGGTTTTACGCGTCCCACAAGAGGTGTTCATGCACTCGAATGTGTTCCGGCGCGATGTATTAAAACCCCGAAACCATGAAAGCTTAAACCCTGATCTACAAACCCGAAGCCCTGAAACCCTGAAACCCGTTTGTGTCGTCCGAAGGAACGCGGTGCACGAGATGGCCGGTTTGGAAAAGCCCTCCTGGCTCCCCGAGGATCCTCAGACAGTTTTGGCGTTCCCTTAGCAGGTACTCTGGGGTTTACAGTTCAGGGTTTAGGGTTTAGGGGTTCCTTGAACAAGGGTACCGAAAGGGCCTCCTAAAAGGTGTTTTTTGCTGGGATCTCTCAGAGTTTGGGGGTTTTAGGACTCAGGCCTTCAGGGTGTTAGGGTTTCAAGCAACAGGGTTTAGGGCTTCAGGGGTTTATTGTGTATCCGGAGTATGGAAACTCGAGAGAATTTTATTTGCCCAAGCATTCCAAAAGCACTTGCTTCAGAAACATCGAATAGTCATTGTTTTCTTTCGAGCTTGTGGCAAGGTTTCTACACGGTTTCTTTCAAAAGTTTCGTAGGAAACAATGGTCTGTAGATACAGATATTGGGGTCTGTGGGTTCCGTCCCACCATCCTTCCCTGTCGGCCGAGGACATCTACAAGTACGTGATGCTGAAGGACCACGGATTCTAACCCCCACCCAGCCCCCCCGAAGCCTTAAACCCCTTAAACCCCTTAAACCCCTTAAACCCCATAAGACACAAGCCTCGAAGCCGTAAGCCCCACGCCCTATATCCCCAAACTCCAGGGCCTGAGCCCCTAAAGCACAAGCCTTCTTTGCAGGAACCTCATCTGGGAGTTTCCGAAAAATTCGGGGTGCCTCATTTTGGGGTCCTTATAAGCAGGTTGCTACTATTTTGGGTACAAGATTAGGGTTCACTATTTTCGGAAACTCCCATACTGTTGATGGACAAAATCCTGCATGACCCTAAGGACTCTAAACTATGGGAACTATGGTATTTTCCTTACACAGGATTTGTACCCAAAATAGTAGGATCCTGCTCATAAGGACCTCAAAATAAGGCACCCCGAATTTTTCGGAAACTCCCATGTGGAAGCCCCCTGCCTAGGGCCCTATTACAGCTAGGACGGCTCCGCCTTCATCGGCCCCAAGTTCCCAAGCCTCTTGGTTAGGGGTTTGGTGCTTGTAGGGTTTATAGGGCTTATAGGGCTTATAGGGCTTATAGGGCTTATAGGGTTTGTAGGGTTTATAGGGTTTATAGGGCTTATAGGGTCCATAGGGTTTATAGGGCTTCTAGGGTTTATAGGGTTTTAGGGTTTTGGGTTTTGAATTTGGGGTTTAGGGCTTATAGGGTTTAGGGTTTAGGTGGCCCACAGGCTTCACATGGTTTAGGGTGACGGTTCAGGATTTTGCATTTAGGGGTTAGGGTTAGGGTTTAGGGTTTATGTCAGGGTTTCATAAGGGCTTTACGAAGGTCTCGCAACGGGTTTTATACAGGTCTAGAGCATGAGAGGTTTAGAAGCTTATGAAAGGTTTTTGTTCTTTTGTGGTTAAGGGGTTTCCATCCAGTTGAGTCCGGCTTAGGGTTACTCTAAGCATTTTCAGAAGTCAAGAAGGGTTACTGCACTGTCGCGATATACGTTATTATAAGGTTACTACAGTGAGGGCTACGATCATAGGGTTGCCATATGGGTTTCACAAAGTTTCAGGTTTTGGGCTTCAGTCTGTCTGAGGTTGCGGGGGTGACCCCTTCGTCCTTCGGAACCGCCTGCGCCGAGAGTCGAGTCGCGCAGGCCGCCTTGAAGCAGCCCTGCGGTTGGGAATATCAGGGGTTTAGGGGTTTAGGGTTTAGGTTTGACTTAGGGTTTTGGGTTTGGAGCTTGGGGAGGGTAGGGTTAAGAAAGGGTTTAGGGTCTGGGGTCTAGGTTTGACTTAGGGTTTAGGGTTTAGGGTTTTGGATTTAGGGTTGAGGGTATAGGGTTTAGGGTTGACTTGAGGGTGGAGGGTAGGGAATATCGGGATCTGAGTATAGCATGAATATGGAAGCCTGAATAATTACGTACATGGGGTTGAGGGTTCAGGTAGGATTCAGGATCCCCTGTATGAGGACTCTGGGTCGGGATTATCCCGCCTACCTTCCTCCCACCTTAGGAGCCCTTTGAAAATATCGGGGTAGTAGGACGATCATTGCAGTTGCTAGGACAATCGCAACAGAATAATGTAATAGCAACAGCTTTAGTCATATGAATGACGGCAGTGCCCATAACAGCGGTAAGAGAGCGACCTGCATAAGTCTAAGTCGTGCAGCTACACTTCCTTAGGATTCCAACTGCGTCTTTGTTTCCAGCCTAAGTCTAGAATCAGCCTTTTCCGTGCCAGCGGCTAGCGCTTACGAGCGTTAGGGAACTCATGCAAAGGGTTGTTCTGCGCACAGTTCATGTAGAAGCGAGTTCCGCCCGCGAAGGTTGCAAGCCCCACTCTCTTCCGCACGGGACCTAAAACCCGAAGCCCCGAACCAAAAGCCCTAAAAGATGAGAAACCTGCAGAACGCTTCACAAAGAGCCTGGCAAAACAGACGTCTGAGCATCTTGGGGCCAGGCAGCAATGCTGAGGAGCTCGTGATCTGAGGGGCAGTGCGAACTGTCGAGCATAGCGCGGGTGTAGGATTGGGGATAAGGTTTTGACAGGACTAACATGAGCTACCGTCAACTATTGGGGGTTTCAGATGGGGCTTCACTAGGGCGACGTCCTCCATTATGGTTCCTGTTAGGAACCAGATTCTGTTCGATTCAACAGTAATGGTGATAGTAGCTTACATGATACATGGGCTACACCCAAATCCTGCTAGTCGACCTGCTTGGGAGGCTGCTTGGGCTTCTTCGCAGGCATGCCAAAGGGACCAAGTCCCACCACGCAGCTTCTCTGTGCCTTTCTTCCATTGACTGCCGCCGCGAGGCATGGAGCGTCAGCTTCCCCCGTCCTGCCTCGACGTCCTTGTTAGGTTGATTTAGAGATTAGGGCTTCTTGGATTTAAACCCAAAACACTGGAAATCTTCAGCCCAACAACCTGATACATAGAGTGTCAGCAGGGTGCACGGCATCTGGCAGATTTTGACGGGCGGAGTTCATGCGGCATTTCGTGGTGCATGGTGCAGCAAGGCTTTTTTTTCCCAGCAGTGTCTGCGCTGTACACGGATCGCGACTTTGAGGCTTTTGTGATTCGGGATTCCAGGTGTAGTGCTGCACCGAGCAACCGCCCCAGAGAGATCTTCCTGCGGTGTCCACCGGGAGCTCGCCACGACGCCTCCGCTCGACTGAGGGTCTATAAAACTCTAAGTCCGAGGGCTACACCCTACCTGTAGCCCACAACCGTGCCAAGTAGTAGTCGTAGTCGTCGTCGTAGTAGTGGTGGTGGAGGAGGAGGAGGAGTAGCAGGAGGTAATGGTTTGTGAACAAGACTCAACGGTACAAACCTCAAGATATGATGTAGTTGGAGCCTCAGGTAATTAACCCATAAGGGTGCTTGTCAAAATTAGGGTCCCTTTTTGGGTCCTTAATATGATACGGCACCTAATACTTAGGGTACCCAAAAAGGGAGCATGATTTTGACAACTACCCATAAGAAAGACCGAGACACCACGAAGCCAAAGGCTTCCCAGGCTCTCCTCGAGCAGGAACTGAGGGTGGTGGTCGAGCATCCCGGTGGTACCTTGAAACCTCCCGCGATGCGCAGCGGCCGGCGGTGCAGAGGATTCCCGGAGCCCCTCAAGTTTAGGGTTCGGCATTTTGGCCTTAAGTGTTAAGGGTATAGCTGGGAAGGATCCTAACATGAAAGCCTTGCTTCAAAACGGATCCTGCCTTAATCCGCTCGGTGGAAGTCCTCCCTTCTGGGGAGGTTGAAAGTTTGGTGATGGGGAAGACTCTGTATTAGATTTATTAGATGCAGCTTCATGCCGGTTCCAAAACCGACAAGGCGCACCCTGAACCAAAATCCGAAACAACACAAGATGCCGAGGCCTAGTGTAAGAAACAAGCCCAAATGAGCCCAATGAAGGTCTTTCTCTGGCCCCTAAACCCTAAACACTAAACCGCTCAAATGGTCGAAAAAGGGCCGCTTAAAAAGAAGAACCCCTCAAATCCCTCATTCCTTTGCGTTGACCTGGACCGCATCGACGCAGAAGGGAGGCTCCTGCTTCGGCGGCGGAGGCTTGTGGTTCTTGAACTGCTTTAGGACTTTAGGGTTTAAGGTTTAGGGTTTAGGGGCTTCATATTTATAGGGCTTGGGGAATTAGGGTTAAAGGGTTTATCGCTGAGGGTAGGGTGTCCAGGGGTTTCGGAAAGCTTTGCAGGCCTTTCGCCAGGGTTCAGGAAATCCTAAAATGAGGAGCACCCTATTCTTGAGTCCTTGGAATCAGGACCCAATTGCTTTGGGTCTACACTTTGCGGGTGTCGCACGTGTGTGCACCAGGGTTACGGGTTCCTTCGGAGGCTTAGGCATGAGGGCTACAGAGCACTGTAGGGTTGGGTTGAACGATTCGGGTTCAGGATTGAAGGATTGGGGTTGTGGGGTTAGGAGATTCGGGTGTCAGGGTTCTGGAGTTGAGGGTAAGATCACCATACCTAGAGTCGCCAATTCTCAGCATAGCAGCATTTGGAGACGGAGAAAGGCAGGCGGAGAGCACGAAATCAATGGTTTTTCGTTTGATGTGGTGAGCGTTTCTATGGAGCCTCCCTGCCGGAGAGTTTGCCTAGGCTTGAGCCGACTGTGCGCGCGGAAAAAAAGCCGGAGCTTGGCTGGGCTTTGGGGGCGTAGGGTTTAGGGTTTTAGGCTTTAGGGTTAAGGGTTTAGGGTTTTGGGGTCCTTGAGGAGATTTGGACCCTGTGGTCGCCTGCACCACTTCGGCCCGGCAGGCACCGCCGAATCAAGGAGAAGTACGGCCAAACAGAGCCTCTCGGCTTCCATGGTTTCAGTTTTGAGTTGGACTCGTAGCCTAGTTGCCAAAACCGCAAATTGACATCACAACAACTATATGGGCACGAATGTAGGCCCCTACAGATGTGGACCTGACCAACTCGAGTAGGGTTTGGGAGCCCACTACAATTACTATAATAGTTGCAAAGTAGCTACAAGGGACGACTACTATTGATTATTGCGACCCCCATACCAAACGAGAGGAGATGCTTATTCATGGTTCAGACCTGTATATTAAATGCCCTAGTCACTCAACGCTACTCCGATTGCAATCTGTGTATTTTTTGTATTTATATGTTTGTACTACGCATGTTCTATATGTGATTACTGTATTTCCTTAGTGAGATTTTGGATGTAATACTTACGTAGTTAGTTTTTGGTAAGTTACTAGTAGCTTGTTACTACTTCATACATTTATTGTGAGTACCATCGTCACTCTTCTTGTTATTGCAAGCAACAATTCCGAGCTTCTTCCGGAGTCGGAAGTATGGAGGAGGTATGTGCCGAAATATGCATGGAAGGGTGGTGTCGTTTCCGGAGGCGTTCAAAGAGCGTTGTCTCTTTTTGCGCCTTGATTTCAGGTGCCTCGTGGGCCGCACCCGGCTCAAGGTTTACTGTGTTTTACAATTTTACAAGGTGTAGGCTGTGGGGCAGTGTACGGTCAATGTGGATGCTAACCACTGCCCCCCCCCCTCACTCCCAGTAAGGATCAATGCAGCGACCCCATATATCAAGAAGTGAGTTTGTTAAGCACGGGTTCGCTGTACGTCCCGAACAGTTCCCAGGTTCAAGAAGATGATGAACCGCACCAAGTTCGGCCAGGGCCTCAGCAGTGATTGAGGGCTACTCGGGTCTTTAGAGTTTCTGGGTTTTTAGGCTTGAGGTTCTGCGATTTAAGGAAGGACTTCAAAGCTAGTTCCTCTTGCCCTCGGTCCTCGCGAACCCGACGGAATGCCAAGCGGGCAGGTATGGATGCCGAGGATGACATCTACACAGAGGACTGGGAAACGGAACTCCCTCACAGCCTCTTTTGCTCTTTGGGGTTCTTGTCGTGGCATTTAGTTTAGGAGTTTGAGAACTCACTATCATGTTGTATCCCAGGCATGGCCATACACATGGCTTTATTTCCCCCCAAACGGTGCGTGAAGATGAGAGCACAGTTCCCTCGAGCATGAGATGTGGACCATGGGCTTAGCGGTTTACCATATCTACGCAATGCAGCTTGAAACCCAACGAATCTTGCATCCCTAAGCCCTAAAGCCGGAAGCCTTGACACGGAACCTTGAACCCTAACCTCAAGCCCTAAACCCCTACTACTACTACTACTACTGCTGCTACTACTACTACTACTACTACTACGACTACTAGCTACTTAAACCCTGAGCCGGCCACAGGAGTGGGGTCTCGGGCTGCCGTACTTCGAGGGCAAGCCGGTCCCACTTAGGGCGCAGAAGGCCGGATCTTCGTCCGATGCAAGGGTAAAAGGAGGGACCCTTAATAAGGACCTCTAGGTATATGCCCTTCATATAGCTACTATATGCCCATTATATAGCCCACTATAGGGTAGGGGTCTTCGCCCGAAGGTGTGGGCCAAGGTCTGGATTCTTTGCAAAAGCTCTGGGTTTTCAGAGGCTTAGTGTGGCATTTAGGGTTTAGGATTTAGTGTTTGGATTCTAGGGTTCAGGGTTTAGGGTGAAGTAGTGAGCTGCGGTCAGCTCATGGTGGTCAACGTACTCTTTAAGCATGCCATGCCTCAGGAGCACTTCAGTTCTTGCGGATCTGAGAGGGCCGGCTAAGCTGAAGCAGCAGAGCAAGGCATTTTCACGAAAGGAACGGATATACCCAGACCTTCGCAATGTTCAACTACCTCTCAGCCCGATTCTGTATGTGGTTGCCCTGTGTGAGGGCTTTAGGCTCAACACTGAAGCCCTGGTCAGGTCTCCAAGGAGAAGCAGCTTCAGAGGCACATCCAGGCCACTGGGAGCTGAGAATGACGGGACATATTTAGGGTATAAGGGTTAGGATGCAGCTCAACTTGTGTTTCCCTGTCTTTTCAACATGAGCTCGTACTTATGGTAAAGGTCAGCTGAGAAAGGACAGTTCAAATCAAAGTCTACAATGTCGCCACATCAGGCATAATATTCTATTATCTAGGGCAGTTCGACAATCTCTTGAAAGGAGGGACAACCGAGACACGTGTTGTTGCTATGGTCTTCCGTGTTCCCATAGAGTTCAGGGTTCAGGGTTTGCTAGGTAAGCTTTAAGCTTTAACCTTTACACCTCTAAATAGAATCCGGCCACAATTCACCGGTTGACGTGTTTGAACAGCTAGCAGGTCTCGGCACCAGACGCGTTTTAGCTGTAGTATTATAGGGGCCTGAACACTCAATAGTATGTTTTCTATTGTTCAGGGCTCCTGGGCATCATTATCGTAAAGTACGTATTCCCCCAAACCCTGTCCTATTCCTGAATGCACGTTTCAGCTATAGCGCTCCGGATAGGCGCTAGAAGAGTAGGGCGTCGGGTCGGCAGATGTGGACTCTTCTGAAAAGGTCCGGCCTGTTCAATCGTATTGTAGTTTCCCACAGACGCATAGCCTACATGCTGAAAGCCCTACTGTAGACTCTGGACTCTGAGGCCAAACCTAAACCTAATACCCCAAACCCTCGGGGATGCACGGCTCCTTAGGGAACCCAAGTTCTCGCAACCCTAAACCCCAAATAAACCCCTAAAGTGGAGCCCTGAAAAGGTAGGTTATTTGGGGTCCAGGTAAACCCTCCTTTGCTCCGCTTTCTGGTGCTGTCGGCACAGGCGCAGAAGCGACAGCGTGCGGCAGCCTCCGCAGGCTAGGGGATTAGGGCTTGAGGGTTCAGGGTTTAGGGCTACTATAGGGTGTGGTAGATCCACATGTTCATGTGGTCCTTTGGTGCACCAGCGGCGTAGTATCGCAGTGAACTACTGAAGTCGCGTGGCCAAGGAGGTCCCAGAAGGAGGGTGGAGCGCACCCTAAACACCAACTCCGACTAGACTCAACCACCAACAGCCCCAAGATGCCTCAGAATCCTCCTGGCGACTCCACCAACAGATTCAGCTGAAGCCCAGGCTGAAAAACTTTCAGCGCAACCCTAAACCCCTCGGCCCTAAACCTAAATCCCACAACGCCGCTCTTTTCCCTAATCCTGCACACCCTACAGCCCCAAAATCCTCAGACCCCAGCTACCCTCAAACTCCCTCACCACGAAATGAAGGGAATGAGCAGAGGCAACGAGAGCGGACTCTCCAGTTCCCTGGCGTTCACGCCAGTGCAGGGTATCGAGCTGGCTTGGGGCCCGGTTGAGGATCAACGATTTCGGGCTTCGGGAGGGGGCGGAGGAGCTTGGGTTCACTTAGTTCTTTGTTTTGTGGACAGAGACGCGTGTATGTTTGGGTATATACATATCATTCGCATAGATATATAAACTTATCCATCCATACATCCATCCATCCATCCATCCATCCATCCATCCATCCAGCCAGCCAGCCAGCCAGCCATCATGTGGGGATCTATAAATATATATATATATATATATATATATATATATATTTATAGATATATATATATATATACACAAGTGTGTGTTTGTGTATGTGCATATATATATATATATATATATATATATATATATGAAGACATATATGCATACATAATCTGCTCTTGAAGCTCGTTGACAATCAGCCTTCCCTGAGGCGAATCCGAGCGCTCAGCGGAAGGCTCCGGATGTTGGCGCCAAGCTTAGCACCATAAACCGAAAAGCCCGCAGCCCGAGATGGGTTTTAGGGATGATGAGTGTTCGGATATATGGGCTTTAGGGATGAGTGTTCGGGATGTGGGTTTTGGTGTAGGGTTTTGCTGAACCTACACACCTAAACCCTAAACTGCTAAACTCTAAACCCTAAACCGCTAAACTCTAAACCCTAAACCCTAAGCCGCTAAACTCTACATCCCGCAGCCACCGAGGCGAGAAGTACTTCTCGAACTCCGCAGGCTTCGTCAACTTGGTGCGCGCCCTAAGACAGGATTCAGGGCTTTAGGGCTTTAGGATTTGGGGTTTAGGGTTTAGGATTCAGGGTTTAGGTTTTAGGGTTTTGGGTGTAGGGTTTAGGGAATGTACCGCTACCACGGTGTGGGGGGTTTTCAGGATTCAGTGTTTAGGGTTGAGGGGTAGGGTTGCTCGGGTCAAGGGTGCAGGACCCGTCGAGTTGAATGGTTTGGCGGTTGTTGGGCTCGTCCGTTTCATGCTTTGGCTCAGGGCTCAATAATACTATAATGATAATACTATAATGATAATACTATAATAATAATACTATTAATAATGATAATACTCAAGTCCCTTCAGGGTTTGAGGGTGTTAACATTAACAAGGTTGAGGTCGTAGGCGAGGGAAAGGGTTAATGGATGGCTGTGCGATTCCGTGTGGCTGTTGGTAGCTCAAAATCTCCGAAGTTCGCTTGCGGGTGAGCTTGGCCGCAGCTGTCCGACGAGCACGGAAAAACTAGTCTTCGCCTAGACCTTGTAAGAGATCTTGGGTTCAGATCAGGTCGACTGCCCAAGCCTCAGCTCGAAACCGAAACCCCAAACCCGACTCCCCGAAGTCCCGAAATCGAGGCTGAAGAGTTGGTCCTCGAACTCACTCCAGACCGAACTCGCAGTGATGTTGAGTTGGACTGCAAGAGCCGGCCACCCCCATGAAATCACGACAGATGTTGACTTGATGGGTGTATATATAGGGGGATGTGCAAAAAGCTAGGAGGGTGTATATCAAACGATAAGGGAACTCAGAAATATCCCAAATCGATATCTAGTGTACTAGTAGGGTTTACAGGCACGGCTCTGGGTTTAGGCTATACTGCAGCATAGGGCATGGGAGCGGTTGAACTTGGTACCGCAAGGATCAGCTTTGCCACTGAGGCGACACCCGTGCGCGGCTGATTCGTGCACTTGGGGGCTAGTAATTTGCCCACACATGGATCCCAAGCCATCCGTGATCACACCTCATGACAGGGTCCCTTCACAAGTCAGAGCTGAGAAGGCATTTAGGTCCTATAGGACCGGATACATGTTAAATGATGGTGGGCACTACTCAAAGCATTCATTGACCGTCCCTGGTAGGAGGAGAGGTGTAGTCATAGGCGAAAGTGCAGCCAGCAACAAAGCGGCAAACTGCGCGGAGGCAGCGACTGACGCAGGCAGCAGAAAATGATACAAGGGAGCTTCAGGGTGAGAATTGTGGTTGGAAGTGCGCACGCTGTCTTCCTTGATAAGGGAGGCCATGAGCAAACCAAAGGCACATGGATAGCCGCGGACGGATCAAGAAAGCAAGAAGTGCCGGATCGGCTCATGCCCAGACGCTGAATTGATTGGTGTGTGCCTGCTTATCCGTGCTCACAGTCTATACCCCAAGACGGGGAGTCTTCTCCAGCGCAGCCGTCACAAGCCTAGCACCAAAATTCGCACCTGCTCAACATAGATGTTTCCTGAGCCATCAGCATAGTATGCATTTCTACCAACTGTAGCCAGCACCCATCAGGCTCGAGTTTTCGAGAAACTCCACCCGGAGCCATAAGGCATCAGCAAAGCTTGGAGCACCTTCACACTTCCCGCTCCCAGAAGCGAAAGTCTACGGAAGCTACCCTACCTCTTCATTTTCCGACGCTATGCGAGTCTCCCGAGTGGTTCGCGCGGTACAGCAAAGGCCCGTGCAAAGGAGGAGCAAGCGCAAGTTTTTGGACTCAACGGCCTTGCGGGGATAAGGTATGGGAACTTGGAATGGTGCGTCGATTTGGGCTCTATAGGCTTTTTCGGATCGAAGATCAAGTCAAGTTTAGGAGATTTCTGGCATCTCCTTGCGCTTGTACTGTGCCCTGATGAATGTTGCAGAGCCATGTTGCCAAGAGGTGGGACTTTGTAGTAATAAGGAACAACCCATGTAGAACCTTTGTCAAACCTGTCAAGGACCCCAGTCTAGCTACTAGACCTGAAACCGAAACCCCAAGAACGTCAGGTGGGGTGTGATCTTCGATATCGACGGCGTGCTCATCCAAGGCTACAAACCCATTCCGGGTGCTGCCGAGGTGGGAGGGTTCTGAAAAGGGTTCTACAGCAGATTGTACAAGGGCTCCTGTGCGTTTACATGCGGGTTGTGATAGCTCTTGTATAGGTTGGGATGATGAAGATTGTTCCCGCAACTTGAAAAGCAAGATGTCTTAGCTATAGGCCAGGGAAGGTTTGTTAATTGATGGTTAGCCCTTAAGCGGAGAGGGTTCTCTAGTTTAGGATTCGGGGAAGGTTTCTTGATTAGCTCTCTCCCTCTCTCTCAGACGAGCTCTGGCGAAAAGTCGTTCCATTCCCCAGGGAGCGCTTATGATTCAGGAGTGGTTTGCTGGGCTCACTGTCGGAAACCAATACTGTATACTTAATTGAAAGAAAGAATCCTTAACTACCCCGGTATGTGGGTTTCCATCCTGTGAGCCCTGAGCTTCCCTACCTTGACATCCTCAAGAAGGAGCAACAATCCGCTAGAATCATCCCCTGCCCACCAGCCATGAAAAGAAAGTGCTCCGAGCTGCCCAAGCCCTCTCCATGTTCGGCCTCTCTCCAGTCGCTTTGCTGGGCTGAGTACTACACTGCAAACCTGAGACCAAACCCAAGTAATTACCCCATGAGACCCCCCTAAACGGCTCCGTTTTTGTACATACCTTTTGCGGAAAAAACCCTAAAACCCTGCAAGCATGACCCATGTTTCTTCCCAGCAGAGGCGCTCCGCGCTCTGGATGACGCGCGCGTGCCTTACGCGTTTATGACAAATGGAGGCGCAGGAACTACCCGGTCTAGGGTTTAGGGAAACCTCCTGCTTTTGATCTGGGGTTCCGGGAGTCTGGTGTGTTCATGCCGGGAAGTGGTCGCGTGCAAGCGGAGGAGTTTTTAAACGGTGCTTCTTAAGTCGTCTGGCAGCTATGTAGTGTAGAATCTAAATGCGGGTGTCTTCAGAATAGATACCTTGTGTCGGCGTCACTCTTCGAAGTAGGCACCGTATTTCGGCGTCCGAGTCTTTACAGCAGGTACCTTATCTCGGCGTCGGTATACTCAATGAACTATTCTTTGGGGTCTACGTTCATCGGTAGTTATAATTAGGGCATATAAGTCATATAAGTCTGATAACTATGGTCATGGCCTCTGTTAGTCTATTCCTAGTGGCCTTTATTCTGGAGCTTCGAAACACGAGAGCGCTAAAGCCTTGTGAATTCCAGGATTGCAGTTTGGGGTTGAGGCAGTCTCTAGGGTTTAGGGTTTGGGGTTTTTAGATTTCGTGGCCATTACTTCGGCCGGACACACACAGAATCCAACCCTTCACAAAATTCGGAACTACTGCAGCAACGTTTCAGCACAGATGGGATCCCAAAAGTTGCTTTCATTGGTGCCTAGCTAGTGCCTGAACCCTAAACCCTAGACCCTGGACCCTAAAAGTGGGCATACTCTCGCGAGAATCTAGATGCCCGGGCTACGCATGTCAGTTTCCGAAAATAGGGGGTAATTATCGTATTTTGGGTCCTAATAATAAGGATCCCACTATTTAGGGTACTATATTGGAGTCCCCTATTTTCGGAAACTCCCAAAGGGGCCAAGCAGCACGAGAGCATAAAGTATTGAAGCCGCACGCTGCTAGGGACATCACCCTCAATAACTTGTTTTCTGGTGCTCTCTTTCCAGGAGAGTACCTTCAAGAGTGTATCTTCTTGTGCTCCCTTGTAGGAAAATCGAATTCGATCATTAATTTTGACCAGCTGTTTTTGACTATGAGCTATATACTCTAGCCTCTAAACCCTGAACCCCAAAGCCCAAAACCCTAGACCCTATCTCCCATGGCCAATGGCCTTATGTAGGCCCAGATGGTTCGGCAGACATAAAGAGGAGCTCAAAAAAGCCTAGACCCTAAACCCTGAACCCTAAACCCTAAACCCTAGAGACTAGTGCAGTTGCAAAAAGGCTTTCAACAAAAAAACCTAAACCCTAACCCCTAAACCCAGCCTAGACCCTAAACCCCAGACCCTTAAGCCGACTTTGACAGAGGTGGAGTCCTCGAGGCCCAGAAAGCCGCGGACCTGGACGCTCGTCCTGGGAAATCTTTTGGCATTATCATTAGTATTATTGCTATTGTTGCTAGTATTACTATTGTTGTTAGTATTTTTCATTACTATTGTTGGTATTATTGTCATTATGGTACATTATTAGTACTATTTTTGTCATCATTGTTGGGTGTGTGACAAGGGTGCTGTTTGGGTTTCTAGTTTGTTATCATTGTCAAAAATGCCCATCCTCAAGAATAGCCACTAGGTCGATTCGGTTATGGGTTAGGCTCCCCGGATCGGGAAGCAAGTTTCCCAATGATCCTGTAGTTGAACCCCGTTTGGGGCTGAATGCGTTTGGTGTAGGGTTGACTTTTGTTGAGTATGTTGTATGTTTCTGCAATCCTAAGCTTTAAAGCCCTGCACCCTAATGGGTCCCAGCAATTCCAGGCAACGCGGCTAGGGCGTTCGGAGCCCTTCGGAGCCAACAGGCCAGGCGCGCGCTTGGACTTCCGATTAATTTTGTGGTCTAGGTAAACAGACTCCACACCCTAAATTTTGGGCCTGCAACCCCAAATCGCATTGTTTAGAGTTTTGGGCCTCTCACATCAATCTATGACCTGAAGACAGCCACAGGATGCTCCTCAGTCACACGCCATTCCGAGCTCTGGCAGACTCTTTGCAGCACAAAGCTTCGCTGGCCGGGATCATCGTTACACGGTACGGGGGTATAAGGGCTTCGGTGCAATAGTAGATTAGTAGGAATACGATGAATATCGTAAGCAGCATACACACACACACAGTCAGCACGGCTTAATGTTCGAAGAGTGAGTAATCATGAGTACACCCCGGTCTGTGCAGAATCATTCTTCGCAGGATCGTTTCCAAGACCGCCGCGTACTGATCGTCGGCGCAAGCCGCACGGCCGAGGTAGCTGCCAGCTCTTAGGCGGCAGTAGCATGCGAGAGTCGGCAAGGCAGGGGATTTTTTCATTGAAGACGACAGCAAAAAAAGTCGCTAGCCACCAGCCCTAAATAGCAGCATCCTGATTATACAAGGTGGCGGCAGGGTACAGGCGACTCAAGTGAGGAAATCAGAATAAGGGAGTAGGCTCTGCAACCTATAAAATAAACCCTAGACCCTAAACCCTAATCCCTATACAACTACAACCCTCAACCTGGCTTGGGTCTGCAGCCGCCTCGGGGTGAAGCGCGGGAGCGTAATCGCAGCTCTTCATCGCGAGAGACTCCCAGAAAGAATGCAAGAAACCCCAACTAGAGACGGTTCCGCTACAGCACAAGCTTCAAGAGGAACACAATATAGTTTAATGGTATTTATGGAAGATTCTTCTGACCTTGCTGAAGAGCCCAGAACCTAGACCCTAAACCCTAGACCACCTAAACCCCATAATCCTTATTACGGATGAAATTCCAGGCTACGGCTTCGACTTCACTTCCGGTCTGGCTGCCCCTAGGTCGCAGGCCAGGGCCAAGGCAGGTGCTAAGCTGGTTCCGGACCGAAAGGTTTTTTAAGCTTAAGATTTAGGACTCAGGGTTTAGAGACCTTGGTGTTTCCGGGTTCAGGCTTCAATGTCCAGAAGTTCGGGGTTACCGATAATCGCAATCCTTGCAGAGAATTAGGTGCTGACCATCACTTTTAGGGTATAATGGAAAACATCTAAAACACCAGCTTATGGGACCCCCGAGGTACAGTGGTGTGGTGTGGTTCAGGGTTTAGGCATCTTTACATTGATATGCCGCAAGTGGGACTTCTAGCATCCAGGACCTGCTTTATATGTGTGTGTGTATATATATATGTAGATACACATATATGCATATCTAATGTAATACAATATTATATAACATAATAAAGTATTAGTATAATATAACATAATATAATATACCATAACATACTATCAAAACAACGCTTAAAACACGTGCATGTGCGTGTGTGTGTATATATATGCATACGCATACACATGCACAATCACATATGCATGTATGGTACAACTTGTTCCTGATTATCGCTTCTTCAACATGATCTCCAGCGGTCTCCGGGTTTCACTCGAACGAAAAATTCTTAAGGTCACCACTCCGCAGATTGTCAGCGGCACACCAGAGATCTGTCCGTTTCCGCCTCTGGCCACGACCACTCTACCCGGCGTGAACGCGCCGAGGCTGTGCAATTGTTGGGTTGTCCTTCATCTTTCACTCTAAGCCTTGAGCTCTAAAGCCTGATCTCTGAGGCCTAAATCCAGGACCTTCCAGAATAAAAAACTTTAGAGGCTTTTTTTAAAATTATGTTTTGGTTCAGCTGCGAGCCTTTGAGGAAGGCCTGAGGTTGCTGCAGGGTGTGGTTTAGGGTTTAGGGACAGCATAACGTGGTAGCTTCAGTAGTCCTTCTGCCTAGCATCCTATTGCAGAAAGGGCACCTTTTACAGAGCGCTGCTGCGTTGTGAGGTGAATGCGCCGGATGCACCCGCGATCGAGGTCCCCAGATTGCCAGCCTAGGGGGGCTTTCATGGCATTTACAGCGTACAGCCCGCAGCCTGAACGCCAAACATCTATCAAACCCTCCGCCGACACCCTGAACCCAGAAGTCTCACCACGGTGGCTTGCTGACACTTTCAGCCCGGCACGTGAGTTGGGTAATGCTCCTTCAGATGATGGGGGCTTGTAGGAGGTCTAAAGTTATACTACAGTTGTACTACAGATATACTATAGTTATTCTAGAGCTATCCTAAAGTTATACTAGAGTTTTCCTATAATTGAGTTTGTCGATTCCAGGCTGTGCTCATATTCTATGAGCCGAATGACTGGGGCACTGAGCTTCAAGCCCCTCGGCTCTCTTGGTGGGTCGTGGGGATTAGGGTTTAGGGTTTAGAGATTAGGATTTAGGGATTGGTGTTTAGGGGTTGGGCGCTTTTTGGAGGGGTTGTTGTGAGTCTTGATTTTATGTTCGGCGGCCATCATCACCATGACCATCATCGCACTGAAAGTTGTAGAAAACAAGTAGGTGCGTGTGACGACCATTGCCAGCTACACAGTGCCGCAAGTTTCAGAATCCTGAGTCTGTTTGACCCAGCGCACATGATTAACCCGTCGCCCTTAATGGAGAGCATTTGTGTAGATATTGTTTAGGGTTTGGTAGGTTTTGTAAGCTTTGATGTTTCTTAGCTATTCTTGTCCTCCTCAAGGGCCTGAAGCGGCCTCGAGAGACTAATGACTGTCCTTCCATCGCAACGACTTGTACCTCGAAGTTCATAGGTGTTTCATGGAGGCAAACAGCACTCCGGTAGGACTTCCCTTTTGCTGAAAAATTATGAGCATTAGCCTTCGAATGCTCAAAGCTCAGGTGATCACGGACGCCGTGGCCGGCGGGCGCCCCATGGGTTTTGGCGACAAACAGGTTGCCGAGGCCATTGCCCGGGGGGTTCTTGTGGACTTTCAAGCAACTGCCAATGCCCCTTCAAGCAATAAAAGGAATCCTCCTCTCAACCCAAATCAAATCAGAAACCCGCTACAATCTAAAGGAACCTACCTCAATTCAAGAATATAGGGGCAAAGTTGAGCCCGCAGGGCTGTTCGCTCTGGGATTTGCTGCGTCCTGACATCGCGGAGACACAGATTCTTGTAGCTTTGCTTGGGGGGTAGGCGTTTCGTGGTGTTGCAAGGTGCTTGTACGGGTCTATAAGGGTCACCATGTTTTATACGAGATATGTAAAGAGTGTTTAAGTTCCATGAACAGTTGCAAACAGGAGATTTGTTCTACTACTGGAGTCTTACTATTGCAGTCTCTCTGCATGTCCGAGATGAAGCAAATCCTAAGACCATCGCGGAAAAAGCCATAGAAAGCCGAGAAAAAGGATTAATGCCCCAAGACAACCGTCAAAGGCCAGAGAGAGAGATAGAGATATAGAGAGATAGAAAGATAGAGAGAGATAGAGAGCTAGAGAGCTAGAGAGATGGAGAGATGGAGAGATGGAGAGATAGACAGAGAGGCAGGGAGCTCCGAGCCATGCCTGAAGCCCTGAAGTCTAAACTCTGTTGTAAAGCCTTGCCGTCCTGCCAGGTATGGGCTTCGAATGCCGACTTCTTGTGGCGAGCCCCTTGGAACGCAGCTAGGTAGGGTTAGGGTGCAGGATTGAGTAGAAGTAGAGTTTAGGGTTTCGTGTTTATAGGGTTAAGGGTTAAGGGTTCGGGTGTTTAAGGTTCCGTTAGGGGTCAGGGTTTAGGGTTTGGGTGCTTTTGGCACTTGGGAAGGCAGCTAACTTTGGGGATGGTTTAAACTTCCACCTCCTTGGGCTAAGTAAGATCTTTGCTACGGACATTTTCACAGTTACTTTGAAGAGGCAACCTAGGTAGCAATACAAGATTTCATAAGGGCTCTCAATGACTTTAGTCATGTCGTGTAGTGATTTGGTGAGGAGGTTTCGTAGGCTTGTCATAGTGCTCAACAACTCCAACTGCAGCCAGGTAGGACTTCGGGATGTTTTGTGATTCCCTTATTTGTCTTGCGAGGACCCTTGTTTACGAATAGTAGTTTGAAGAGGCATTGAAGTCCCAACCCAGGCGGTTTAACTATTCCGCTTGAATTTGGATGTTGTTAAGCTTGCCATAGCATCTTATAGAGTTCAGCACGTTTGGGGTGGGGTCTTTGGAACAACAGCAGTTTACCGATGGGTAAATTCTCGGGCCATGAGAGCTTGGAGCTTGCTGCACGAGGTGTGCGTGTGCGTGTGGGTGTGTGTGTGTGTCTTGTTGTTGGGGCTTTATTAGAGTAAGGATTTCAGGTTAGGGTTTAGGGTTTAGGGTTAGGGATGTTCAGGGCTCCGGGCACTTTGGTATTTTGGGTTCAGGGTGTTTTTCGGTGGCGAGGGCAAGGAGGGGACAAGGTCGAGCTTTGCGGGTTCCGGGATTGTGGTGGGGTCATAGTACCAGGCTCTACTGCCGGGGCCGTGAGGATTTCTACCAACATGATTCCTCATGGCTCCTGATAAAATGCCCCGTAAATTCCTAGTCAACTTGTCAAGATCCCTGAACTTACCGCCCGAAAAAGGCCCCAGGCCCAACAACCCTCAAAAGAAGGCCTGTTTTGGTTATTAAGGGCTCCTCGTACCTTACTTTGGGGTCCTTATCATAAGGATCCCACGATTTAGGGTACTCTATTAAGGTCCCCTCTTTTCGGAAACTCCTTTTTGGTGTTTAGGGAATAACCCTAAACCCTAAACCCTATTTCGGTTATGAAGAGGATTTAGGGTTTAGGGCCCCTCCATCTTCGTGATAAGAGTCGTCTCCCTCGCACGAAAGTGGGAGGCCGGTTACCCGGTCTCCCGCTTGGGCAATGGGGCCTTCCTCGAGAGCTTGAAGGCTTTCGGGTTTAGGGTTTAGTTTAGGGCTTTAGGGTTTAGGGTTTAGGGTTGAAGGGGGGGGGGGGTTAGGGTTCAGGCTTTAAGATCTGTTTTCGGAATCCTGGGGGTTTAGAGATTTAAGTTCCAGGGTGTGGGGTTTGGGGGACAAAAGGATTGAGGTGCTATTCGATGAGACCCCAGATCAAGTTCCGCCCAGTGCATCCGGGCCTTTGGATCTCGGAAGGGTTTAGGGTTTGGGGTGAACTTCGAGTGTGAAAGCTAGTCGAGATTCTTGCAGCTCTTGCAATCTAGGAGTAAGGAAGATGTGAGGAGAACCCTCGTAGTAGTTCCATGCTCATGCCCGCTTGCTTGCGGTGTTATGCGGGATCTCTCTCCTGACACCCTACGCTAGCCTTGATCGATACACCATGAGGACGTTTAGCTGCCTCTTAAAAGGGGGGGGTCAACAGCCGCCGTCCTTTAAACCCGGAGCCCGGTAGGAAGAATCCGCAGGGAGCCCGACTTACCCATGTTTCCTGACAGAGCTTGCCATACGAAAAGTCATGAATTTCTTAAGGAATCTTCCTTAAATGAGGGTAAGTTGCCTCTCTAAGTTGTTGGAGAAGGCTGTTTGGTGCCGCCGCACCGGACACGACTTGAAGATTCAGGACTGCTCCCGTAAGCGTGCATGCGCAAGCGAGTTCGGGCTTCCCGGCTTAGTCATAGTGCATCTAGCTTCGGTGGCCTGGGACAACTGAACTTCATGTGAGCACATCTGCGTGATCTCTGTCAGGTAGGCCTTGTCGACACCTTCGCGAGAACCTGCACCTGCCCCAAGTAAGAAGCACCGATACGGGGGTTTCCGAAAATTAGGGGTACCATATTTTGGGGTTCTTGTAATAAGGATCCTACTATTTGGGGTACTATATTAGGGTCCCCTATTTTCGGAAACCCCCATACCAGGAATGCGGCAAGCCCCACAAAGTGCAGTTCGACGCTGCAGAAGCCATGCTAGCAGACTCTGATCTGAAAGACATCAATTTCGGGGCTATAAGGGTTTGCAGGGGCTTAGGATTACAGGGGTTTAGGGTGTAGGGTTTAGGGTTTAGGGGCTATAGGGGTTTGTAGGGGCTTAGGGTTATAGGGGTTTAGGGTGTAGGGTTTAGGGCTTTGGGGTTTTAGGGGTTTACAGTTTACAGGGCGTTTCTAAGGGGTTCTGGGTTTGTAGGGTGTCTGGGGCCTGCTTGTCCCATGGGCATCCAGTCTTCCCGTGACGATGTTTTTAGAAATTGGGGGTCTGGGATCCCGAGATTAGGATTCAGGGGTTAGTGTTTTTCAAAAGGTTCCTGCCAGCCTGAAAACCCGAAGGCATCACCCCTAAGCTCCAAAGAACTCACCCGAGGCTGCAGGGTTTCGGAAGCTTCCGAAGGCCTGTGCAAAGGCGATCTAGAAGCTAAGCTTAAGCTGCGTGCGGCAACAGAGGTACGCAGTACAGTCGATGCTTTCCTTAACCTAGAAACTTGATGCAAGTTGCTTGACCAACACCCTCATCGCTCAAACTCGATCCCCAGTTGGTGCAGACCCGCCAGGGGCGTGTATGCACACACATGGGTGGTTGTCAGAATTGGGGTCTCTTTTTGGGTACCCAAAATAGTAGGTGCCGTATTATAATAATGAGCCGAAAAGGGAACCGTTTGACAACACCCCGACATGACACCCTCAAACCTTGAAACTCGTGCCAGAAGCCTGGCCACTCACAGCCTAAGCAGCTGAAGGCCCGAAGCTGGTAAACCTGCATTCATAATTTAAGGGCCTTAACAATCACCTAAAAATTTTTGGGCGGTTCCCTAATCAAAATATTGGAATATTGGACATTGGAGTATGAAATATCCCAAAACCCTATTCCAATCATAAAGGCCCTTGCAGTAGAGTCTTGCCTCTCGCTTCAGGAAGTGGCTGGCGTTTCTACCAGTAGCTTTTCCCGGACAGTGGGCGCACGCGCGGCCGTGGTTTTAAGAGTTTAGGGTTTAGGGCGGGCTCAAAAATTGCGGGGTTCGAGGCATTGCGCCGGATCTCAGAATTTCGTGCACTCCAAACAAGAATCTGGAACGGCTGTAGCGCTTGATTTTGAGACATCTCCTCGTCAAAAACAAAAAAATGCTTGTGAAACGCACGGTAACGGTCACATAAAGGCAAGACTTGCCTTTTGTTTAGTGCTTTGCTTTCGGTGAACTGTCCGCCTCCTTGAAAGGGCCAACAGGGTGCGGGGTGGTTGGAAATGAAGGGTTAGGGCTAATTTATTCGGGTTTGATCCGATGCTCCGGATGAAGACAGAGACGCCTGATGCATCGAAGCCGAAGCCCACCATCGGTTTTGGGCTTTGGGTTCAGGATCTCAGGGTTGAGGGTTTGGTTTGGGATCTCAAGACGTGAATCACAAACAGGCCCTCAGCATGACACCTGGAGTTTCACTCCAGATATTCAGTCCTGCGGCTTTCCCGTCCATGCCTCAGTGGCACATCAAACCTGTCAAGACTCCCATGTGCAACCCCTCCCAAACTTAGGAAGTTGAAACCTAGACTGGCCCTAAACCCTGCACTCGCAGGATTTACATGATCGGCGACAATCCTGCAGCCGATATACGAGGGGCCAATGCTGCGGAGGGCCCATGGAGGTCGATCCTGGTGCGCACCGGCCCCTCGGTAACAACACTGCCAGGCTTGTCCCTGCTCCGTCATACATGCGAAGCTCCAGACGCCGTTGAAGGTTGCATAGTATATGTGTATATACGAGTATAAATGTATATATATATATCTATATATATATATATATATATAGAGGTACCTATATGTCACTATATGTATACGGGCTTAGTTATGCCGGGTTTTGAAAGATGCAGAGCCACTTGGCTGACCCTCCGCCAGCCAAGACAGTTGCCGAGGTGTCTATCAGGGGCCCTCCCACTTCACAGGCGACGCCGCCGAGGTGACGACGAATGTCTTGACGTTATGACGGGTCGCGGTTGCTGCGCTTTTGTTGGCGATCAAGGGTCTTTTGGCGATTCGCCGAGGTATCGGTGGGGTATCTGGAGACTTTTCAAAACTACTTCCCTTTCTGGCGGTTCTTATCTTAAGTGCTTAAGAAGTTTGCCGCTTGGGTTCTGTATTCCGGCTTTGACACTAAAGCCTTGTTTCCCAAACTACTCGGAGACTGGGAAGCATGATGCTGCATAGACACTACAGCAGGGGCTTCGTCAGAGAGACTGTACTCGTCCAGAAGGTTGCACAGCTTTGCTGAAGGAACTTCTTTTGGCCAAGGCCTTAGAACGAGGCAGGGGCCGCTCCGTTTCCTTATGAAAGAGGGAGGCAAATGTTGGCGGGGAGATGATGCATTGTATGATTGAACCCTGTTCATGATTCAATTACGCATCTTCTTTTGGTCAACATTGCTTTTCTCATGATGGT